AAATGGACAAATAATATCACAGAAACACTGCAACAGTACAATGCATCTGTGGTCAAGGACGCCAAAGGAGAAAGAACCAGAACCTTGTATATCTTCAACACATCTATGTGGTACAAGAGGAAGTGAAAAAGAAGAAAAGTATCCAGTGGGGAAGCCAGATTTCTTTAGCATACTCTGACTAAATGTAAAAGTTGAGAAAACAAATGTTTCATCAGATAACTGGAAAACTTTAGTTACAGTGTAACAATATCATCTAAAAATTGTAATAGCATAATCACAGTAATATTCAGTGTAACTAAATGAGCCAATTAACATCCATTCATTATAGCAAAGCTACCAGCTTTACATTTTAACTAAACAACACAATACTGATCATTATAATTTCATCCATTATAATTTCATCTAAACACTGTAGTAATATAAGCATCCATACAGTGTAACTAAATTAGCACAGCTGAATAAGTTAACTTGAGTACAATTATTCATTCGGTGTAACTATATGAGCACAGTATCATTCAGTATATGTAACAATCTGTGTATGTAATGTGTTTTTCTTTTAAAGAGTGTAAGTAAATGACAGAGTCAAACATATAGTGTAACCATATGACCAGCCATACAATGTAAATAAATTAGCTATTAGTATTACTAGTATTACAGTGTAGCTACATGATCAGAGGATCACTCTTTATGGGTATATACATGCACAGTATCATTCAGTGAACGTTGCTAAACATGCACAGTATCATTCAAGGAATATTGTTACATATGTACAGTATCATTCAAAGAATGGCATCACATGCACAGTATCATTTAAAAGAATAGCATTGCACATGCACAGTATCCTTCAATAAGTGCTACTGCACGAGCACTGTATAATTCCCAAACCATTACTAAATGAGTAAGTAGTCTTTGATAAAGTGTAAAACATGTACACTGTAACATCTAGCCTAGAGTAACAGAGTATCATTCAATAAATATAATTACACACACATAAGCATTCAATAAGTGCAACTGCATGATTTTGGTATGATTCACTAACTATTACTACATGTAACAATTTCACACTGTAACATCTAACCAATATAACAACAGATAACAAAGTATCATGCTATGAGTGCAACTTAATGAGTAAAGTCATTCATACAGTTCAGCTGCATGATTATGCTCACAATGAAACTAAATCAGCACACTGTCATTCATGCAGTGTAACAACATGAGGGTTCCTACCTCTGACTAGATGAGAACAGTTTAATTTACAACACTGACCAGGTGAAAACAGGACTTATGGTCATCCTAACAATATCATTCACACTATATTACAAAATGAGCTCAGTATCACTCATACAGTGTAACTATTTTAGCACAGTATTATCCACAAAATATTACTAAATGAGCACAGTATCATTCATACAATGTGACTAAACTTGCACAGTGTCATTCATACAATATAAATAAGTTAGCACAGTATCATGCATATAATGCAACTTAATTAGCACAGTATCATTTATACGATGTGACTCCATGAGTTTCACTTACATATTATAACCAAGTGAGCACAGTATCGTTTATACAATGTAGCTAAATGAGCACCGTGCTATCCATATAACACGGACAAATGAGCACTGTACCATTCACATGAGGTAACTACATTCAGACTTAGTTTTTTTACAACGATCATCCACACAATGCAGCTAAATCAGCAGAGTGCCATTCATAAGTACAGTATCCACGCAGTAACTACATTAACATGGAATAATTCAACACTAACAAAGTGTGCACAGCATAATCCATACAATACTTCATCATGTAAAATCATGTCTTTATATTAAACTTCCATCTTTCATGCTGAAAAATGTAACTTCCTTGCCATTCAAAACATCAGTATTAAGAAACATGTTATAGTTGATGTCACAGCAGTTGACCACCCATGAGATATATAATAAATAATATTGAACAGAAAATGTATATCTTATATAAAGCGGACACACTACTTGTTTACCATTAATAACTCTTTCAGACCCAGGAAGTTATTACACTTACCACAGTTTCAACGCCAAATTCCAGGCACATGAAACTATAAATCTTTGAGATTTTATCAGTTAAAACATTATGACTATGGCTTAGATTTTATTAAAGTAGACACTGGAGCATAATGGGTTAATGCAATAGAAGAATGGGAGAAAGCAAAGAAATATTTACAATCTTTGAAGTAATCAATAAACCTATAGTGTAGTGTCTGGCAGTGAAAGAGTTACAATGGCAAAGCTGTAGAAGATGATATTTAATATTACTTGTTTACCATTATTAACTATATCAAAACTAGGGGGTTGTTACTGCAATACTTTTAATCCCAAAGCAAGCCAGTGCTAGGCAGACATTGCTCAACCCTGTCACTTCAAGAAGACTAAGTATTGTCACTTCAGGTTGTGACATAGCCCGTAAATGCTGATTTATCATCACGTCCGCAGTGACCTGTTCTCAAAAAGCATATTAAATTCCATGGTCCTGGGTTTAAAAAAATTTCACAACAATTTTTAAAATGTAGATAAATACATTTAAAAAAAAAAAATCATTCAGGTCAATGGTTACTGCGACAGGAGAAGGGGATAAAATAAGTTAAACAAATACAAAATAGAAAGTAATCAACGAACGTGGAATGACTTGTCTGCTTATGAAAGAATTAAAACGCTAAGTTGCAGAATAAGACAAATAAAACAAAATGTTTAAAAATTAGATCCACTAAAGGAAACAAAATAGTGCTGACTAGATTTGACTATTTCCACTCAACACAAAAATTCTTCCAATAGTCACTGCCTAATTCTCCTGTATGCAGCTACTGAACAATGCAGAAATATCAGTCTTCAGATACTTGCGAAAATCTGTTGTGTCGGGCCAAAAAGTGCAGATAAACAGCTATGAACTATAAAACATTGTGTCAACCACTCTTTTAGGGGTGAATATAGAAGATGTCATCAAGTTTTCATAGAACACATCATGTCATTGATTCATCATGAACATTTATTTTGACAATCTGACTTGCCTTGATGTACGCACAAGTTCTTCTTCTTCTTCTTTTGTTCGCTTGAAATAAATTATCTATATCTGCAATGCTGTCTCTAATATGAACTTCACTGTTTTTTGTAATTCACTCAGCGACCCGTAAAGTTTGATTTGCACCGATGTTTCTCTTGGCCAGAAGTTTTGCCTATGCGCAAGCAATCTTTCTCTCCTTCTTCTTGTTGAATATTATATTAGTAATATCTACATAAAAATTGTGGCCCTTTTATTGCGTTGATAAGTTTGTGAGATTTGTTGCTGTCTTCCAAATAATTCTATTTGCAAGTAACAACTTTCACTGAAAGTAGTGACTTCCATTTAAGTAGTGGCTTTCAATTTAACAACTTATACCATAAGCAGTAGTTTAAACTCATTTGATACCAAACAACTCATCATATATTTGTTGGTTTCATCTGACATCATTTACTTTTCTGAACATCATATGATCCACCCAGTTGTTACAATGACTTGCTAAGCCCCAATTCTTACTTGAATTCCTCCTGTCCCAAAATGCTTTTACTTTAACACTTCAGATCCAAAAACACTGATTACATAAAGTAATGCAATCTCAGAATAGAATGAGTTAATAAAATACCTGCTTGGTACTGACTGAATTAACCAAATGTACTGCTGTCATCATAAGTAACAGCTTTGACTGCAATTAGTAGTTTTCATGTACAGTAAAAATTTGCATTGCAAGTAGTCACTTCCTTGAAAGTAGTAACTCCTACTAAAAGCAGAATTCCCCCCCCCCCCCCCCCCACTGAAAAAAGCAGCTTTCATTAAAAGGATTAACTTTCACTAAGAGTAGAAGAAATAACTTTCACTAAGAGTAGCATAACTTTCTTTGAAAAAGCAATTGTCAGTTATTGCTGTCAATTAAATTAGTAACTTTCATCAAAAGTATCAACTTCCAAAAACAATTTACATGAAGAATTGCATCACTGACCTTGAAAATAGGGAGAACATTACTGCTAATATCTCTCTCTCCCTGGTGTACTTTTGTCTCTACAAATTAAGGAAAAATGTGAGCGACTCTGAATCAAGGCATCTACACAAAGGATTGTGTATGAAAATCAAGTCACCCCCCGACTGATTATTACAACTTCACCGCCCTCACTGCAACAAACATTTCAACACACAGAAATCCAAGTGGTTACCTCTGACCCACTCTGGGTCCGGATATAACACTGAAACAGGTGTCTGAAAGTTGACAGAATGATTTTAGTGCACCAATCCTCTACCTCTGCCCCCCCCCCCCACCCTTTTTTTTTCAAGCTCTCCCTGAATGAGTTCTGTGAGCCTATTTTCAGGGAAGGGAGAGGGGTGTAAAACCTATTGCCCCCAAACAAGCATGTCCAAAGACAACTAATTATAATTTTTCGGGTCATCCCATGAGTCATCATCATCCTGTGTCTTGCCAGCTGGCTTGGGCACTCATGTATCTCCACAGATCACGATCCCTGCTTGCCTAGAACAGCTCTCTTGATGATATCCTTATATGCCATCATTTCGACTCATCCAGCATCATCTCTCTTGATACCCAGAGAACTCTAAAAACAAACTTCTCTTATAAATGCAACAACACAAATGAAGCCATTATCTTTAGAACTTGAAGCAAAAAGTTTGATAACTTTACCACGCCCACAGAAAAAGCAATGATGGACAAAACAACTTTTAATGATATTCCGATTCAGCTGTCTGTGAGATTCTCAATTCCAAACAGTAACTATCTGTCCAGCAAAAGCACTTACTTGAAGTATCCAAATTTGTGAAGATCACATCAAATAATGAAAATATATGCATCAATTTGTAAAAGACCTTGTCAGAAACTGTATCACAACCAATGACTCCAAGAATCACAACAACAGCACATCCTGTTACATCAGAGTCTAGTTCGCATACAAAACGTTTACAGCTCATAGTTTTTGTTCATAAATCATCTATACTGTGGTTTCTGGGACAGGGCTGTTTGTCCGGAAGTAAGAACTGCTGGAGGTCCTGGTCATCTCACTTCTGGCACCTGCCACACAGAGGGAGTCTGGGGGAAAAATGGAAAATATTCAGTGAATCAGAAATATTGTTACATTTATTGAGAAACTCCTTGTAGGTTCCTGTGCCCCACTTTCTGACAGATAAAGGAACATAGCCCCCATAGTAAGTAAGCACGTCGTAAAAGGTATTAAAGGGTTGTAGAAACAGGGGCCAAAAGGCGCAGATATCATAGGGTAGCCATAAATCCATCCTTTGGATATTTTCTCCAGGTTATGTCGGTGTGTTGGGAAATGAGCAGTCAGATAGATTGGCCAGTTCTGCATGGCTTCGTGGTGAACTGATGCATGAAAGCTGGATATTGAAAGGTATTGAAGGGTTGTAGAAATCAGGATCCAAAAGGCGCAGATATCATAGGGTAGCCGTAAATCCATCTTGTGGATATTTTCTCCAGGTTATGTCGGTGTGTTGGGAAATGAGCAGTCAGATAGATTGGCCAGTTCTGCATGGCTTCGTGGTGAACTGATGCATGAAAGCTGGATATTGAAAGGTATTGAAGGGTTGTAGAAATCATGATCCAAAAGGCGCAGATATCATAGGGTAGCCTTAAATTCATCCTTTCAATATTTTCTCCAGGTTATGTCGGTGTGTTGGGAAATGAGCAGTCAGATAGATTGGCCAGTTCTGCATGGCTTCGTGGTGAACTGATGCATGACAAGCTGGATGTTGTGGGAGCTCTTTGGGAGCGATTTTTAAATGTCTCCCTTGTCAAAATCTACACGAGATGGGCTACAAGTAAATCGTCCGCTGCTGGCTTTGAACCCAGATATGTCAGGACAGTTTCACAACCCCAGTGGAACACTGGTCAAATCATCTAATGAGTGTCGACTAATCTATACAAATATATGACTTGGTATCCCAAATGGTGTGACATGGGTTCTTTCCTTATCGTGCTTTACAGATGAACCCTTTTGTCACAGAAAAATCTGTAAAAATTATCTTTTACAAAATGTTGTTGGAATTAAAAAAACTACTGATAATTATAATTCTCTGAAACTTTACACTAGGAAGCTAAATGGAGAACTGAAGAAGCAGAAGAAATGTGGAATCAGTTATAAAAATCCAGCAGGTTGAAACCATAAAGTAATGCCGCCCCCAAGTAACTAATGATACATTTTTCATATTTAGAATGATTATTTTGTGCAGATCTTGATTTTTTTTTGGTGTCATGAGAAGTAATTGCTAAAAAAAGGGAAATAAATAACTCCTATCCTTCCCTTTGACCAAGAAAACAGGGATTTGCTGACACAATCACAAAGGGAACAGTTTTGTTGTATTTTTTGGGGTAAATATCATCATACCCACCAGGTCTACACACTATACAGATGAGGTGCATTCGGTTCCAAAGCTGTTATACAGGTGCACTGGCTACTGCCAAAAGATGACCGTTATCAAAATCTCATAGAAGTCAGAAAACTGGCTTCCTTAGGATAACAGGCTTAACTGGTATCTCATTTTCACTATCAAATCAAACATTTGAAACTGATATATACACACATATATGAGGCTACAGGATGCAACCATACAACCCCATGACTAACATACATCTCCCCACTAACATATATCTCCCCACTAACATACATCTCCCCACTAACATACATCTCCCCACTAACATACATCTCCCCACTAACATACATCTCCCCACTAACATACATCTTCCCACTAACATACATCTCCCCACTAACATACATCTCCCCACTAACATACATCTCCCCACTAACATACATCTCCCCACTAACATACATCTCCCCACTAACATACATCTCCCCACTAACATACATCTCCCCACTAACATACATCTCCCCACTAACATACATCTCCCCACTAACATACATCTCCCCATTAACATACATCTCCCCATTAACATACATCTCCTCACTAACATACATCTCCCCAGCAAATAACAGCTGATATCTTGGTGGGAATTATTATTATTATTCTTTTCATTCAGCTTCCTATGCTCAGGTCAGACTGTCAGGTGGGTTGCCTCTAAGAACTCGCATGTCAGTTGCAGGTTTTTCGTAGTTTCCCACAGGTGCGAATTCAATATTAGAAGCTTGAAGAATCCGTTTTGATTGCATATTTGTTGTAAAAATCAATTTTTAAGCGTTTTAGTATCTCAAAAATGTTGCAAAAATCCTGTTTATTTTGTCTAATGACAACTTACAGATTTTATATATGTTAAAACAGTGCATCCTAACCCACACAGTCTGTGGCAACAGCACTAGCCATGTGGCCCTAAACCCTCAGGCTCAAAGAACTCCATGCCTACACCGTAAAAGGGGTAAAGACAGGCAGAACAGCAGTTTATAACAATGCAAAGTTAGTATTATGTTGTTAGCACCCTTCTGTCTTTCCATAGGATAGTGTTGTATTGTGCTATAGAAAAGAATAGGAATCACATCCCATGCCAATAGCGAGTGTGACTATCGAGACCAGCTAATGTTTAGGACAATCTTCGACACTAAGTATATGAGATTAAAGGACCATTACTGCCGTCATATGTATCTGACATGTTTCTTCTTAGATGCTCATCTCTTAACCTGTCTGCAATTCTGTTATCTTTCATCTCCATTTTCTTCCTATTTCTCCCTCGATGCTACATGATCCATGGCATCCTGTTCCTGTGAATCCACACCTCAATATGTGTTTCATTCATGTCTCACTTGCATACATCTTTAAATTGTAGCAGAGGTTGATTTTGACATCTTTTACCCATAAGTAATTCCCCAAAGAAGATTTCCTTAGGAACTCTACAATTATTCATCCTCAGACTGTGTCTAGCCATTTGAGCCTTCACAGACAGAGCATTGAGAAAAGTGTTGCAATGTCTGTTCTTCCCAATACCTTAGTGGCTGTAAGCTTCTCTTGCCACTTAATGACAAGTATTATTCGCAAGATGACATGTGACTGTTTAGCCATTTCCTCTGGTAGAAGTAAGCTGACGTTGTTTTCCTATAAAAAAGTAATAACCCAAGCTTGATAAACAAGAAGTTTTGTTTTAAGAGCTAGCTTTTTGTTCTCCCAGTCTATTTTTGTTAACCTCTTTATTCTTGTTGCTGCCTTAACTTTCTTGATGTTGATTTCTTGGTCCAATGATTTTGTGTGTGTGTTACTGACTGTTATTGGAATGTGAAATGATAAAATATCTAAAATAGCCCTTTCTCATCAGTGATGATTGCAGCAGGTCTGTCATTAACATTCTGCACTATATTCTTTGTCTTCATTTTGCTGATTGTTTGTCTAAAGTTTACAAATGGCATCAGTAAATGCAATTAGTAAATGTTGCAGTTCTTCCTCTGAGTGAGCTCTAATTGCAGAATCATCTGCAAACAGCGGCTCTCTGATGAGTACCTTCCTAATCCTGGTCTTGGCTTTCAGCCTATGAGCATTGTAAAGGCTGCAAGCTGAGCAGAAACCGGTAAATATGCTACCCCCCCTGATCTTGAAAGGTATATTACAAAAGGGGGAGGGAAATGTATTCCAAACAGGGCTGTGGCAAGCCCACAGCCTGGCTGTACATTTTAGTTCTGTTGTACTATAATAAAGAGTATTATGCCAAATCCATAAACATTCACATTATACCAAATATTATGCCCAATCCATAAACATTCCCATTATACCAAATATTATGCCAAATGCATAAACAGACCAAATGATACCAGTTAGTATACTCTGTTTATAAACGAGCCATTGCTACCCAGTATGACTCTAAGTCATAAACACCAAAATCTGTAAAAATAGTATTCCCACTCCGTAAACAGATCAAAGGTTACCAACAGAAAATCACTGCCATGAACAGATGAAATATTACAAAGGAATGTCGTCAATAAACAGAAGAAATTCATATTTTATATGCCTAGTTCATAAACAGACCAAAAGCTATCAAGTAGTATGAATAAACCATAAAAAGACCAAATGTTACAAAGTAGTATGAATAAACCATAAAAAGACCAAATGTTACCAAGTAGTATGACCAGTTCATAAACAGACCAAATGTTACCATCAAGTATACCAAATACATTAACACATCAAATGTTACCATCAAGTATACCAAATACATTAACACATCAAATGTTACCATCAAGTATACCAAATACATTAACACATCAAATTTTACCATCAAGTATACCAAATCCATAAACAGACATAAGATTATCAAATAGTATGCCAAATCCATAAACACACCAAATGCTATCAGGTAGTCATTTCAAGCTCAGCAGGGAGGTGTAAGTAAATAAAGTACCCTTTGCCTGCCAGTGTAACATCAAGCCTATGATACTAAACTCATATTTGTATAGACCAATCAACCCTCGATGGGTGATGAGGTCAACATCATGGTGGCCACTTTTATTTGCCAGGATTTTTATCTGGTACCTGTTTCATTCATGCTGGGTCAACCTGAAAGTCAAGGTCACTTTTTTTATGAAAAGTAATTGAACTGATGCAGATTGGAGCCCACAACCTTTAGGCCAGAGCAGACAGATTTGCTTGGTGATCATTTGCTTTAAGAAATCACATTTAATAATTGTATTGCTTAACAGAATAAAAATACACTAAAAAAGAATGCATAAAAAAAAGGTTTAAGAATGATATGTAATGATGAATCTAACCGGTCTGGTTAATATGGTTAGTCAAAGCCATGCACAAGAAGTCTAATTTCATACTCACACACGTTTTACTTTATTTTTACAGCTAGGAATAAAAGACCGTAAAACAGCATGGGGATGACAACTTGATAGTAACTGGGTCCTGATTGTGAAGGCTCATTAATTAGATTTAATTCTTTCCCTACCCCATTATTATCATCAAGGACTTTTGCCAAATGTCATCGGAAATCATACTAACCTGTCCCCCCACCACCCTCCCCCCACCACTAATCTTGCAATATTCCAACAGTAGGTATCAAGTTACACACTTGGATCACCAAATAGAAAGAGAAGGCCAGTCACAGACATTAATGGAGGTGGGTGACTGCATCAATGCTTCAGAATGCTGAAAGAAGAAGAAGATGTATCATTCTGTGTGATCTTTTCATGCCAAGATAAATGGATATGAAGAATTTTCTCTGTGTTCCTCTTAATCTCTTTCCAACTGTGGCAGTATGTTCCGGTTTTGCTTTTCTGATAATGTGGCCAAGACAAAATGACAGCCTCTTCCTTATGTTTCTCCCAGGTTAAGTTTCATGTACACAGCATATCTTTAGACTTTTCCAAATTTGTATATGATGAGCATAAAAATTATTAAAGTTCAACGTTCAAAGACAAATGTTATGTTATAGATTGTTTAAAACTGGAGGATACATGTTATTCATGTGATATTTACTATTTAAAGATAAATGTTACATTCTTTTTCCGATTTTTCCTTTTTTTTTCTGTAATCGGTTATATCTGCTCAGGTTATCAGTTATGTTGCCTCCACAAATCTGCTCATCAGCAGCAAATCTCCAAAAGTTTATCCTGGAGACCTCTTACCTCTTGCTGTGTTTTCATATTCGATGGCAAAGATGTCTGGATGACGCTCCGGTAAAAATCATTAGTATTTTCTGCTTCTTGATTCATCAAATGTTAAGAATTTTTTCTATAATTTTTTTCTGTTAAAAGCCCCAGTTTTTCTCTTTGATGATGTTGAATAGTTTAAGGTGGTTGGTAAAAATGTGTGGAATCTGAGATTTCATTATTAGGAAACTCAGCATAAGGTATTCTAAACTCAAATGAAATAGAGTTCAAATGTGTCACCAACAAATAAAACAAAGCCAAAACTTGCCGTAACAGTGTGGATTCCTGAGCTCTATTTTAGGGTGGAAAATTTATAGATTCACAGCGCCCCCCCCCCCCCCCCCCCCCTCTCCAACAAGTTGACTAATTATGGTTTTGCTGGAATGTTCAGATATCACAGCCTACTTGTAAACCACATCATAATGTTCCAAACGCCTGCATGAGGGTGAATGCAGATGAAAAACAAGATGCTATAATTAAAACACACAATAAGAGATGCATCCGGTTTCATTAATGACTTACCCGAACTAGAATACAAAGATGGGGCTCTAGATACAGGTTCCAAGAAAGTAGATGGCACCCATCCCTCCTGGTCTGTACGCAGGTGACGTGCATACCACCAACCATTTGTTCCCACTCGCATCACCTCAACTTCATCACCTTCTGATAATCCCAGTTCTGTTGGATCTACCACAAAGTAGTCCCCCAAGGATACAAAATGTTCTTTGTAAGATGGCTGAAATAGCAAATACAGCATCGTGAAATTTAACTCTTTCACTGCTAAACAACTAACCATATGTTTGTTGATTATTTCTTATATGATATCATCGTCATCATCATCATCAGGGACTCTTTCAGTTCAGGCAATGCCTCATGTATTAACTCTTTGAGTCCCAAGAAACGCATCACACGTTCATAGTTTACCAGCTAGAGGCCCAATGAACGCATGATTTGCCGATATAATGTCTCTCTTGACTACCCCTTTGGTGTCTGATGATAAACCCCATGGGACTTAAAGAGTTGATTTCTATCCACAGCACAAAGTGACCTTTCACTTTTTTAATATTTGGCCAGGACAGACTAAGGAAAATAGACCTCTCCTAATAGTCACTAATGCTGCATAAACTTTAGCCCTACCCTAATGGTCACTACTGCTGTGTAAACTTTAGACTTTCCTAATGGTCACTACTAATGCATAAACTTTAGACCTCCTCTAATGGTCACTACTGCTGTGTAAACTTTAGACTTCCTCTAATTGTCACTACTGCTGCATAAACTTTAGACCTCCCCTAATGGTCACTACTGCTGCATAAACTTTAGACCTACCCTAATGGTCACTACTGCTGCCTAAACTTTAGACTTCCCCTAATGGTCACTACTGCTGAGTAAACTTAGACCTCCACTAATGGTCACTACTGTTGTGAAAACTTTAGACTTCCCCTAATGGTCACTACTGCTGTGTAAACTTAGACCTCCACTAATGGTCACTACTGTTGTGAAAACTTTAGACTTCCCCTAATGGTCACTACTGCTGTGTGGCGCGGTGATTTATGTCACAGGCGTGAGGGGAAGTTAAGTCCAACATGATGTGTATAAGGAGATACTCCGTACGTCACTCGGGCGCCAGTCCTTTACTATCCTGGTTGTACGGAACCTCACGCAAGACCCCTACAGCACGTCCTCGTCGTGCGCCACGGATAATGTCTCAAATGAGCATTAACAGAGCTGTCAGGGGATCTCGGAGTTCGGCGGCCCCCAGAGGTGATGTGTCCTTGTGGCTCTCATCAGCCCCCCCCCCCCCCCCCCAAACGCTTGGGTGAAAAAATGTTATCAAAACTCATTAGGAACATGAGTAGGTTTGCCAAATGTACAGCCAAAATTACAACCCTTGGTTAAAAGACTGCGGAGTAAAGAGAACATTGTTCACTGCACATCCTCTGTTAACCCTCAGTGTCGTCGTCACCGCGCTGAGGTACACCACAACAGCAACCATCCATAGGCTGGCCATCCTTGTACATCCTCGGTTAACCCTCAGTGTCGTCGTCACCGCGCCGAGGTACACCACAACAGCAACCATCCATAGGCTGGCCATTCATGTACATCCTCGGTTAACCCTCAGTGTCGTCGTCACCGCGCTGAGGTACACCACAACAGCAACCATCCATCGGATGGCTAAGCCTAAATGTCCGACAAAACTAGATCATACGGATCAAAATCCGACCATCAAAATTTGTATTGAACTGAAAAAGACCGAATGTCCACACCCAAAGACCCCACTCGCCCGAGTGTTGGGACAAAACTGATAACGATATGCCTGATGCAGGATGTAAAATTCTGTCGGGCTAACGGCTCGTCAAAGAAATCTAACGTGCGAAGAAAAAAGAATGTACCTATCTGTGTGGTCACAAAAGTCCAAAACCTACGGGCTGCTCCCCGCTGACTTCCAGAGGGCGCAGCCCCTGTCGAGCGGGAGGCCTGATACGGTTGTGAGGTTAAGCAGGCATGTGCAGGACGTGACGATTCCTTGGGTGAGCCCAGAACCAGAGCGCTATGTGCCGGCTCTGCATGCATGGAAGCCTCCTTGGATGGCGGGGAATGCCCATGATTTGCCCCTGCCTTCCCTTGAGGGCTAACTGTTCCACAGGGGGCTGCCCCAAAGGGGTACTCCGGGGGCAATACCTGCGGCGAAGGAGACAAAGTGGACACCACACAAATCAGGCAACGTCTCGACCCACACAAAACAATGGCCACAGTCACCCTAGAAATAGGCCTGACGTCTTCCTTCGAAGTCGGAGTACAGCTGCCCATGAGGCAGGGAAATGAAAAACGGTTGTACACGCAAAAATCAGGTCCAGGTGAAAGCCAAAAGTCCAAGCGGACGATTAACCGGGACCTTCCACTGGAATTCACAGCCGGTGATCGATAAAAAAAAAAAAAAAAAAAAACTACTGCTGTGTAAACTTAGACCTCCACTAATGGTCACTACTGCTGCGTAAACTTTAGACCTCCCCTAATGGTCACTACTGCATAAACTTGAGACCTTCCCTAATGGTCACTACTGCTGGATAAACTTTAGCCCTAACCTAATGGTCACTACTGCTGCATAAACTTTTGACTTCCCCTAATGGTCACTACTGCTGTGTAAACTTAGACCTTCCCTAATGGTCACTACTGCTGCATAAACTTTAGCCGTACCCTAACGGTCACTACTGCTGCGTAAACTTTAGACTTTCCCTAATGATCACTACTGCTGTGTGAACTTAGACCTTCCCTAATGGTCACTACTGCTGCATAAACTTTAGACCTCCTCTAGTGGTCACTACTGCTGCATAAACTTTAAACTTTCTCTAATAGTCCCTACTGCTGTGTAAACTTAGACCTCCTCTAATGGTCACTACTGCTGTGTAAACTTAGACCTCCTCTAATGGTCACTACTGCTGAATAAACTTTAGACCTCCTCTAATGGTCACTACTGCTGCCTAAACTTTAGACTTCCCCTAATGGTCACTACTGCTGTGTAAACTTTAGACTTCCTCTAATGGTCACTACTGCTGTGTAAACTTTAGACTTCCTCTAATGGTCACTACTGCTGCATAAACTTTAGACCTCCTCTAATGGTCACTACTGCTGCATAAACTTTAGACCTCCTCTAATGGTCACTACTGCTGCATAAACTTTAGACTCCCCCTAATGGTCACTACTGCTGTGTAAACTTCAGCCCTACCCTAATGGTCACTACTGCTGCATAAACTTTAGCCTTTCCCTAATGGTCACTACTGCTGCATAAACTTTAGCCCTACCCTAATGGTCACTACTGCTGCATAAACTTTAGACTTTCCCTAATGGTCACTACTGCTGCATAAACTTTAGCCCTACCCTAATGGTCACTACTGCTGCATAAACTTTAGCCCTACCCTAATGGTCACTACTGCTGCATAAACTTTAGACTTTCCCTAATGGTCACTACTGCTGCGTAAACTTTAGACCTGCCCTAATGGTCACTGCTGCTGTGTAAACTGCAATTTTGAAAGTAAAGAATTTGATGAAATTTCTCCACTCTGGTATCTACTGTGAAACCCTAAGGTACCAAAAGAGTTAAAGTCCCATTAACAACACGCTTCAATGGGTAAACATTTGCTGTTGACTGACTGATCAGCTCCCTACACCTTTTACGGTTAGATGCTCTGAACTTGATGTTTGCATATCTGAGGCCCATCCAGGTTTTTCTCCTCATGCCCTGCACCAAGCCATGTAGAATCATTTTGGAGAGTTTGTTACTTATCTGTGGCACTGCATTTTTTTGTCTTTCTGACACAGATTCTTAGTTGCCAATGTACTAGGTGAATATATGGCAGACTTCATCATGTATGTTGTGGTCCCTGTATGACATAACGAAGGATCTTTCAAAATGATCTCATTTCCAGTGCCTCTATGTTGTTTTCAAGTTTGGATGTTAACATCTAAGACATCTGAGTACATCTGGATAAAAATTTGACATCACAGCCTACAGGATAAGCCCATATTAGCTTGGTCTCCATCCCTCAACAGCCAGTGAAGAGTATCTCTAAACTAGTGGTGCCCGTTGTCATCTTGTTAACTACTTGTCTTGCCTTGCCCCGAGTCTCCAGTGGCAACCAGAGACCACAAACACTCCCCGCTGCATTTTCTCTCAAGGTATGAGTTTTAAATATAATTCATTTTACTTGCAACCTTGTTCCACATGTGAGAGATCACCTCTGCTTCGAGAGTTGCAGTCTAAGACAAACATTATTGAAAAGGCCAAAGATGCTAGACTAGATTTCATCACTGATATAAAAACAATTGCAAAGTTAGTTAGTTATCTGACAGATAATTCTCACTGCTGATCAAACCATTCATTCCATTGGTGCTCCCATCCCATTCCTCAGTAAATCCTGCAGCATGTAGCTGCAGACAACACCAGTTCTATGTTGGTTTATTCTTCTTCTTTGGCTTTTGCAAAGTGCTTTTATCTGGCCTGACCCCTTTTTAACTCAAACTGCATAAGTTAGAACTGAATGGAGGACTATATGCCTGTGACATCTAACTGCAACAACAGGATGATGATGATATTAAGGTGTATGTTTTACATCTGTAGGTAAAGGTACTCATAGCTAATGCTCTAAGCCTTTCCACCACCTTGATAAGAAGTGGTGAGTGATGTGGACAAAATCATGTGGCTGCCTTTACTTCCCAGGGCATTAACTGGTACCCATTTTAGGCTGGGTCGACCTCGGAGCCAAACTCATATTTAGAAAAAATCAGGAAGAACTCAAACCCAAGGCCTTCAGACAGGCAGGTAAGCACCTAGTGACTTCACTACCATTCTCTCCAACACACACTAAAGTAGTTACAATTTGAAGACTCACCTCAATTGTTGGGATATTTTGTACATAACTTTCCTCATCACTGTTGGAAAACTCTCCTGAAGACCAACCCCCATCGTTGTCTTCATTTTCCTCTCTATCCTCCTCCAAGTTCCCTCTGGTGTTTTGATACGGAGGTGAGGTTGGAGTTATTAGAGGTGAACACATCTCCATACCACTTGGCACAGTTGAGTGTCTGTCTGCATCATTAGTTTTCCAGCTGTCTAGACTGTAATGGCAGCAGCAAAAAAGAAGTTTTAACCCTTTCTATCTAACCACTGTCTTTCTCTGCTTAATGCTGTTAGGTGTCACATGCTTGGCTAATGATCGGTTTCCGCTACAGTATGCACTTGTTAGCTTGCTGCCTGGTGATATTGTTGAGTTTCGACAACTCTTTCAAAAGTTATAAACACAGGGGTGACATAGTCAAGCTAGTATCAAGAAAATATTCCATTCAGCTTTCATTAAGAAGCTTTATGAAGGTGGGAAGGCGGAAAACACACACAGAAAAACAATCAGACTTTTTTGGCAGCAGCCTTTATCAACAAAACCACAACAAGGGAAGAGTATCAAGGCCACCAAGGATTTTAAAACTCTTTCAGCACATAGCAACTCACAGTGCAATTAGTAGTTTCTTTTTACATGTAATGCTTTTCTGTTCTCCTTTTTCTTCCATCTATATGTATGTTAATAGATTCTATCTCAAAGTTTAAAGTAACCTGTTCTGTTCTATAGTGTTATTATTTAAATTCGCTTGGACCCAGACATGTCTTTAAGTTACAAATGTTTCGGATTTAATCAGTTACAGTAATGAATGTCTGGGAACAAAAGAAGAAAATGTAAAGTAAGTAAAGGACCTCTTTACAGCCACAAGTTCATCTGGCATATGATGCTAAACCCATATTTTTATAAACCAATCAACACTCATTGGGGGATGTGATAATGGCAGGAATATTTCAGTCAATCAACCAGGTGCTGTTTCCACTAGGAAGGCTGGCTGCAGTGGATCTCCAACACTCTCTTTTCTATTGTTTTGGTAGCACACTCTCTCAGACTACTGTTCATACATCTCTTGATGTTGTCTTCCCACATGTATTATTGTCTTCCTCTTGCTCTCTTGACTTCAGCTTTTCCCTTCAGTGTGGTTTTTGAAATAGTTTTATGTTCTTTTAATGTGGCTGAAATCTTTCAATAGTCTCTTTTTTTTCAGCAATTCTCTTTTCATTCCAGAAGCTCTATATTTGAATCTTTAACAGCTCTGCTTAATGTTCTGGATTAAGTTTCTGCTGTACCTACCTACTTTAATCTCTTATTCTTCTTTTGTTTTTGTTTTAAAAAGAGGGTGTCCCTAGTTGAGTGTTTTAGCCTTATGCTCTGAAGGTTATGGATTCGTTTCATGAACTTTTTCAGGTCATGGGTTAGGTTTTTATCCATATCCATGGTGATCATCACTGGAGCTGAGTTCATGTTTTGTGTGATGCTTTTGACAGGCAGCTAGCCACTTAGTGGAGGGAAACTAGCCATATGGGACGAAACCTTGTGCAACGAAAATGCTATTTTAAGTTACTATATTCATATCCTGGGGAGCTACACTGGTGTAGCAGCTAGAGGCTCCCCTGCAGATCTGAAGGTTGTGAGTTTGGGTCCTGACAGAGCTAGACGTTTATTTTTTTTTAATGCCCTTGGTGCACAGGTCGACCCAGCCTTGAGTGGGTACAAGATGTAGTTCTGGGAAGTAAAGATGGCCGGCGTGAGGTTGACCACATCACCCATCCAGTGCTGACTGGACTACAAAAATAGCTGTTAGTTGCATATCCTTTACAGAATGTTGCAAAACCAACCCCAGCATTTTCAGGCTGTTGTGGTTTTCTAGGCAAATTTTACATTTGCTAGTTTGCCATTGCTCCCTGACAAGTCAGCTCTCAGTACCACTGTCAAAACCAATGCAAGCTGAAAAATTGACTGCAGCTTAGATCAAGAAATATAGGTAAAGCCTTATTTGCCCAACATACATGAAGACGAGAAAAAGGGGTCCTCTAGTTTTATATTTTATATATCAGGAAATAAAAGAGCTAAGGAAGGTGCAAATGAAGAACAACCTGACGTACCAGTGTCATGTCAGCAAAAGAAGAGAATTATCAAATCAATCAGAAACCACCAAAACCGGCAGAAGACGATTACCATTTTATGGATAGACCAGAGCAAGTTATTATTCTATGCATTTTTTTTTTTTTAAATATCCAGAAACCATGAGTTGTTAACCCTTTGGCTCGGTACTATGGATATCACAACCCTTCGGCCTTGATTTCATGATAGGTACCATAAATCTGGGAGAAAATTTGGCTTTTCTGCCTACCCCAGGGAGTGAACCTGGACCACAAGGAGTTCATCACCTGGATACCGCGCAGTCCCGGTTTAGCCAATGCTTTAAAACAGCATACAATTGACTTCGCAGCCACATTTTTAAATTGATGAATCAGCCATGTGCACATGTGGACTGGCACCTGAGACAACAGATCATGTCCTCCAAGACTGTCCCAAATACAACACATCTAGGCAAAACTTTTGGCCAAGAGAAACATCGGTACAAGTCAAACTTTACGGGTCACTGAGTGAAATACAAAAGACAGTGAATTTCATACTAGAGACATCATTGCAGATATAGATAACCTATTTCAAGCAAATGAAAGAAGAAAAAGAAGAAGAAGAAGCTTTATATTCATATCCTGACCTCAGAAATGATTGTACAGGTATGAACACAGCCAATAGCATTAACTATACATCTCATAAGCAGGTCACTATATACAAGTTATAAAAGTGACATTTACAGGAAACTGACACCAACCAGAAGTGCTGGTTTCATGAATACTCAGGCTGACAGGTTTAAGACAAATAACCTATTTCTAGACAAAACAAAAGAAGACATACAAACCTACCTATAATCAGAAGAATCACTAGACAGATGAGTTGTTTGTGTTATGCTTCCTTGCTGATGCTGTTGTTGGTAACCTGCTTTCACATGTGCTGTTAAAAAAAAAAAAAAACTCAGTTAATTGTATTCCTGGTACTGATTCAAAAGTTTTTGCATTTGATTTTTATGCTATTTCCTCATAAGCTTTTCGTTGACATTTGCACACGCTTGCTTTGTGGGCAAAAAAATTTTCTTTAAATTTTTCTTCTGTTATTCTGCAAAAGTCTGTTTGTTTTCTTCCACCTAGTGTTGCAGTGTTTCCAAAACTTTTCTTAGTTGCGGTGCCTATTTTCAATTACAAAGTATGACTATTCGAATGTAGGAAATTTAAAAAAAAAACTTGTGTATCTTCAAATATTTTGCAGTGCCCCTGTGAAGAGGTCGCGGCTCCCTGGGGCAACGAGGCGCCGTTTGGGAATCACTGAGTTAAGACATAATAATGATATAGCAGATCACTTTAAATAATCCTAAAGATAGATTAGACACTGTGATTATCCTAATTGTTTGAAAAGTATACATAAAACTTGTGCAGTTTATGAAACTTAATAATCTACATTCCAACAATCTGTTACTATTAATGCATACAGCTATGTAGTATAAAAGCATAAATATCCAACACTGAAATAGAAGAAAAACCTCTATAAATCCTGATTATAATCCAGTAGGAGGGAACATGATATTGTTGAGTATCACTGAAATAGAAGAAAAACCTCTATAAATCCTGGTTATAATACAGTAGGAGGGAACATGATATTGTTGAGTATCACTGAAGAAGAAAAACCTCTAAAAATCCTGATTATAATCCAGTAGGAGGGAAAATGATATTTTTTGAATAAAATTACTAGTACTATAACTATGTGGCATTAATTTACAAACACTGGCCAGGATTTATCAAGAATGGGTTACCTTTTATGTGGTCAAACTGGCTTTTAAGAACTTTCTTGATTTCTGTGACCCACACATCTTTTGTTTGCAGATCTGGGGCCTAGATATGAATTGAGAAGAGAAAACAGAACAAAAAATATAAATCAGCAATCATCTTCTCCTATAAGGACCATCAAATGGAGCAGCAGGGGCCCCATTTGCAGCAGAAATCAGAAACCATGACTCTTTAATCCTCTGTCATCTGAAATTTTAGTGAAATCAGTTTTCTTGTTCTTTTCCTTATGGTCAATATTCAATTGCACTCATCACCATGGGGGAGCCTCTCTGTGTGTGTAGCCTCTAGATGCTGATTTTTGGCTCCAAAAGTCGTGGATTCAAACATGATCTTGGCTCCCAGGTTGACCCAGCTCCTCTAGGTACCTGGTACAGTCCTGAGAAGTAAAGGTGGACAGCGTTATGCTGACCACATCACATCCATTGAGGGCCAATTTGTCTATAAACAATTTGTCCCGATGTGCTGCTGGCATTTAATAGGACCTTTACTTAACTTTCACTGTGTCTTTCCACACACTTCTGTCTCCTGAGTCATCATCATCATCCTATTAAATTGTTAATACATCACTATGGGCTGATTGTCTACTCCTCCATTCTGTTCTGTCCTGCAGAACCATTTTGATATCATTTCTGGAATTCAGTCCAGCACCTTTGGCCTCTCTCAACAGTGTTCATTTTAGCGTTTCTTTCAGGTATCCTTATTTCCTCAATCCATTTATTTCTCATTTCAGTGCAAGTTTAGTTATTTTCTGTTCTCCTTGTTGTGTCCAATATGTTGTCCTTTTTTTAAACAACTGTTGATACAAGTTCTGTCTCATGTACAGCCAATCATTTCTGATTTAAATGTTTGTCCATGCTTTTTAGTGATGTTTGTGTGCTTGTTTATATTATTATTTGTGTGTTATTAAAACCTATTGGTGATAATTTAGTTTAGGATATGAAAATTTAACAAACTATTTCAATTAGATCAATGTTTCGATCAGCTGTTTTCCCGATTTTCAGCTGTAAAATTTGAGATGTCATACAAAAATGATCATAACATCCAAAGTATTGAAATTAATTGTTTCAAATAAAGACTAGCTGATACATAATTGAACAAAGAAGGCATGTGCATTCTTAGAATTGGATAGCAGTTTGCTGAACAAGTAAAAAAAGTAAGGTAAGCACAAAATTGTGTATGTCCTTAATCTTCATATGTGTCTAACATCCTTGAATAATGTATGATTTTAATAATATTTTGTTGTAATACTGACATTAAAATAGTTTAGATTTATTCTGCACTCATTTATCTTAAATTTGATATTTTATATGTCCCATACAGTTTTTCTTCAGGAAGGTTTTAGCTTTGTTGTGTCGCAGTAAACAAAATTCCGCTCAAAATTAATGCTGACCAAACCCCAGAAAAAAATATGGTCCTGAATGAGTTAAGTGATGACATAAAAATTGGGGAACTGCAGTCGGACTAATGACAAGAAGTCTAAATACAACATAAAAAGCAACTAGAAACCTCAACAGAAGGAATGGAAAAGACGCATACAAATGCAACTAGAAACCTCAACAGAAGGAATGGAAAAGACGCATTCAAATGATCTGATCATTTAGACAAAAGTCTTAATCTATCATCCAGACTGAGATTGGGGAAGGGGGGGGGGGGGGGGGTGGTAAACTTTCTGGTAGCAGCCTTGAGGGGACAATTTATTGATCAAACTTGATGGGCATGAGATTAACATCCCTCCAGCGGCCTTTAAATGCCAGGATATTTCCTAGTACTCTTTTCTTACTTTAGGTCAATATGGGAGCTCTATGTCTATAACTAAAAATGCAGATTGGAACCTTAGTCCTTCAGGCAAGTATCTAACCACTGTGCTACCCTAGCTCTCATTATCTGTGTGTCCAGCTGTTTACTGGCTGTAATAATAATAGTTTTAAAACCAAGTTACATATTTTCAATTCTAATGTTATTTCAGTTTTAACTCTTTCAGTCCTAGGGGGTTTAGAATCACAGGCCAACGGGGTGGTAAAGAGAAATGCAAAATCGGCACATCTTGCAATCACTGGGCTTCTAGGTAGGAACCTATGAACGCAAACCACTAAAGACATGGAACGAAAGTTAAATGCATTCGAAAACAAATGTCTGAGAATATTGTTGAACACAAAATGGGATGAATTCAAGATCGTGAAGAAATCAAAGAAATGTCTGGACAACCACTAGTAACAACAGTTATAAGACAAAAGATGGCGCTATATTGGACATATTTCAAGAAGAAACGAGCAGAGAATCATCAGTCACTAAAATAGGAAATAAAGTATTGAAGAAACGAGGATGCTCAAAAGGAACTGATTGCATAGTAGGGAACAGAACAGAGAAATAGACTGGGAACCCAGTGTGTCATATAATGGCACGAAGGGACAATGATGATGATGATGTTTAATAGCTAATTAATGTAGCATAATATATGCAACTACAGCAAATGGACAGGAGCAGCAACAGTGTATGTTGAATGTTGAATTAGGAATCCACATCCCAGCACTCAGGACACTTCCATAAGTGCTCAGTCCCCATCTTCAGCATAGTGTAGTGGCTAGAGACATATTTCAAAGGAAATTTACTCACACCCATTTGAGGCTGGGTCAGCTTGCAATCTCAGTGAGTAAAATTCACACCTTTATTTGAACAAATAACCTCCACACCAGCTGCCAAGTGTTAGCCTTCTTTCAACACAGCTCCCATAATTTGTTAGCTAATGCTTGAAGCTGTCACCAGGTGCAGCATGCCAGCCAATTCTGCTTATCAGTCGTTAGTTGTTAGTCATTAGTCATCAGTCATTAGTCATCACTCATTAGTCATCAGTCATCAGCCAATGCCTGAAGCTGTCACCAGGTGCAGCATGCCAGCTAATTCTGCTTATCAGTCGTTAGTTGTTAGTCATCAGTCATTAGTCATTAGTCATCAGTCATTAGTCATCAGTCATTAGTCATTAGTCATCAGCCCATGCCTGAAGCTGTCACCAGGTGCAGCATGCCAGCTAATTCTGCTTATCAGTCGTTAGTTGTTAGTCATCAGTCATTAGTCATCAGTCATTAGTCATCAGTCATTAGTCATCAGTCATTAGTCATCAGTCATCAGTCATCAGTCATTAGTCATCAGTCATTAGTCATCAGTCATTAGTCATCAGTCATCAGTCATTAGTCATCAGTCATCAGTCATCAGTCATTAGTCATCAGTCATTAGTCATCAGTCATTAGTCATTAGTCATCAGTCATCAGTCATCAGTCATTAGTCATCAGTCATCAGTCATTAGTCATCAGTCATCAGTCATTAGTCATTAGTCATTAGTCATCAGTCATTAGTCATCAGTCATCAGTCATCAGTCATCAGTCATCAGTCATTAGTCATTAGTCATCAGTCATTAGTCATCAGTCATTAGTCATCAGTCATTAGTCATCAGTCATCAGTCATCAGTCATTAGTCATTAGTCATCAGTCATCAGTCATTAGTCATCAGTCATCAGTCATCAGTCATCAGTCATTAGTCATTAGTCATCAGTCATTAGTCATCAGTCATCAGTCATTAGTCATCAGTCATTAGTCATCAGTCATCAGTCATCGGTCATCAGCCAATGCCTGAAGCTGTCACCAGGTGCAGCATGCCAGCAAAATCTGCTTATTAGTCGTTAGTTGTTAGTCATCAGTCATTAGTCATCAGTCATTAGTCATCAGTCATTAGTCATCAGTCATTAGTCATCAGTCATTAGTCATCAGTCATTAGTCATCAGTCATCAGTCATCAGTCATTAGTCATCAGTCATCAGTCATCAGTCATTAGTCATCAGTCATCAGTCATTAGTCATCAGTCATCAGTCATTAGTCATCAGTCATCAGTCATTAGTCATCAGTCATTAGTCATCAGTCATTAGTCATCAGTCATCAGTCATCAGTCATTAGTCATCAGTCATCAGTCATCAGTCATCAGTCATCAGTCATTAGTCATCAGTCATTAGTCATCAGTCATTAGTCATTAGTCATTAGTCATCAGTCATCAGTCATTAGTCATCAGTCATCAGTCATCAGTCATCAGTCATTAGTCATCAGTCATTAGTCATTAGTCATCAGTCATCAGTCATTAGTCATCAGTCATTAGTCATTAGTCATCAGTCATTAGTCATCAGTCATCAGTCTTTAGTCATCAGTCATCAGTCATCAGTCATCAGTCATTAGTCATCAGTCATTAGTCATCAGTCATCAGTCATCAGTCATCAGTCATCAGTCATTAGTCATCAGTCATTAGTCATCAGTCATTAGTCATCAGTCATTAGTCATCAGTCATCAGTCATTAGTCATCAGTCATCAGTCATCAGTCATCAGTCATCAGCCCATGCCTGAAGCTGTCACCAGGTGCAGCATGCCAGCAAAATCTGCTTTCTAGTCAATAGTTGTTAGTCATTAGTCTCTAGTAGTCATCAGTAATTAGTCCTCATTATCTGAGCGGGGGGGTGGCTGTGTGTTCTCGAGACATGGTGTCTGCCTCAAGGGCTTGAGGTTCCAGATTCAATCCCTGGTCAGATCTAGGATTTTCTCATGTAGATGGACTTCTAGTAATTCCCCCTGCTCTCTGGGAGTGAGATCAGACGCCCGTGTGCATTGTTGCGCAAATAGAAAAAAAATCCCTTAGCAGTTGCAAATCCAAAAGAGTAGCCAAACGGCACTATCCGGGCAAATATTTGGAGTTAAAAATCTACCCAAAATATTTCAGGATCCTCGCTGGTGCTACAGTGCCTGTGCACTGTGCTGAGCTTCTTCGGACTCAGGCTATAGTTAGAAGAAGAATGGAGCACTTATGGGTTACTACCATTGTGCTATGATGTTGATCCATTGTTTAAACCTCAGTCATTAGTTGAGGTAACTTAACTCTTTGAGTCCCAGAGGGTTTAGCATCACAGGCCCAGGGGGTACTAAATAAAGTAATAAAATCGGCGCATCATCAGTTCACTGGGCTTCTAGGTAGGAACCTATGAACGTATGATGCGTTCCTTGGGACTCAAAGAGTTAACATGCTTCATCTCATAACATTAGTTGAGGTAACTTTACATGCTTCATCTCATAACATTAGTTGAGGTAACTTTACATGCTTCATCTCATAACATTAGTTGAGGTAACTTTACATGCTTCATCTCATAACATTAGTTGAGGTAACTTTACATTCTTCATCTCATAACATTAGTTGAGGTAAATTTACATTCTTCATCTCATAACATTAGTTGAGGTAACTTTACATTCTTCATCTCATAACATTAGTAGAGGTAACTTTACATGCTTCATCTCATAACATTAGTTGAGGTAACTTTACATGCTTCCTCTCATAATATTAGTTGAGGTAACTTTACATTCTTCATCTCATAACATTAGTTGAGGTAACTTTACATTCTTCATCTCATAACATTAGTTGAGGTAACTTTACATGCTTCATCCCATAACAAAATTTGGAGTTAAAAATCTACCCAAAGTATTTCAGGATCTCGCCCGTGCTACGGAGTTCATGCACTGTGTTGAGATTCTTCAGACTCAGGCTTGAATTAGAAGAAGAATGGAGCACTTATGGGTTACTACCCTTGTGCCATGATGTTGATCTGTCAAATTAACATAAACATGTTACCTTATCTTCCCTACATTTGCAATTTTCTAAACTATTTTCAGTCCACAACTTGACAGCATAAGCAAATACCTGAATGATGTAGACTTCTTCCCTTCCTCGCAACCACAGTTCAAACTTTCTCTGATCCGACTTGATCTTCTCTGTTAGCCCGACCTGAGAGAGCTGTCAAATGAAGTCCAGTATATGCATTAGCAACAAGCAAACAATGGTTTTTAGCTCTTAACATTTTGTACTTCTTTTTCATCTTCCTCACATTCACCCGCTGTAAACTCTGGCAGAAAATTCCAGATGTTCGTCCACTCCTGGACTTTAGGCTTGCTCCAGAGCCTGAGTTTTGCAAGCACATCCATTTTACAGATCTGGCTTGTTTGTATGCAGACGGTTGGTTCCTTGCTAATTGGGTAAATGTAATTTGACTTTGAAGGAAACATCCCTAAGTAAATTTTTACGGTATGCTTGTTAGGGGGTCTATTCCCCACCCCCTTCCCCACATTGAGGCCCTGAAACAGACATGAAAATATATTTGTTACAAATCTAGACTTTATAACAATACAAGCGGGTCTTACTAGTCACTTTCTCAATCACCATGGGCTGTGACTCCTGTGCCTCCCCACGGTACATTAAAACACTATTGTCTGGAAGGATGGGAAGGTTCCAACAGACATTTTATAACAAGCATACACTCATTTTTTATTAAAATTCTTTTTTTTTTAATCAAATAAAATAATTTTAGCATCTCAACAAAGATTTTTGGCTCTAGTGTATCCACTGTTAATTATGGGATTATATGGCAAGGATCCAATACTTTCCAAAGTGTGACTCTCTTACCACTGTCTGAGAGCCATGAGAAGTCTTTTTCTCAAGCACCCACTATGAGAATTGAACACCTGGTAAATAAACAATGACGATTGCATTGTGGAACAATTTGACTAGCCTCTAAGCCACAAAGCTGCACATGTACTAATCAAAAGTTATTTACAATTTGAAAATGATGACAAAGTCAGAAAACATAATGTGGTGTATTGGGATAATTATGCTAGACTGACTCATATTTGTTTCAACCAATCAGCACTTAGTGGGTGATATGATAAACATCAAGGTAACCACCGTTACTTCCCTGGAAATTAGCTGGTAACCATTTATGATTGGGTGACCTGGAAGGCAAGATTAGTTCTGAAAAAAAACAATTATGACCAGATGTGGATTCAAATCCATGATGAAGAAGTTGAATAAGAAGACGATTAAGAAAAAAGGTGATGATTTTTAAAAAAATAGTGAAGAAGAGAAGGAAGACAGTTAGTTAGTCAACAGATTATCCACATTGCACATCGAACTATTCAGTCTATAAGTGCTTGGATCCCCTCCTCAGTAAATCCCACAGTTGCTAGTGGCTCATGACACCAGTTCTATGTTGGTTTCTTATTCTTCTTTGGCTTCCTGTATAGTGCTCTTGCCACACACCTTTTAACTAACATCGTGTTCTTGCAGTCATCAATTGGTTCTCGCAAAAGTCTTACTTCTCATAGAGCATTCAAAATATTAGCCTGGTCCATGACTCCACAGTAGCTTTACCTGCAAGCTTATCAGCTTGCTCATTTCTTTGCACACTTGCGTACCCTGCCACAAACATGAAACTGATTTGTGTCAGCTTCAGAGACGAACCACTGTCTTCAGACCTGTCCATCTCTATCTTCCTGAGCATGCTCACTGAGTCATTGAGAAAGCATGTGCTGGGAAAAGGTCTCTGTCTCCAGCCATGTTACTACTTTGGTCCCTGACTGCCATGACCTCCATGGTCAGTCTACTTGTGGTCCAGGCAACAGCACCAGAACCTTGCTTCACAATTTTAACTTCAACATGAGCCATAAAAACACAACAGCTTCTCACATGGTGAATCACAGACCCATTTGTGTAAACGACAGCATCACCCCCTTTAGAGAATTATCGATAATCAAAGCCTGCACTTCTGCCTCTACAGTGGCTGGATTTTCTTGTCAGCATTTTCTGTCTAGAGACTCTGCGTAGAACCATCTTTAGGGAAGGCTCAACTATGGGCCTAATGAATATCCAAGACCTAAATCAGGTGGCCGCCTTAGGCTCAAGAGGAAAGACTAACTAACTAATTTCTGTCTAGTAAGATGCAAACAGAAAAGGTTGTACAGTACTGTTGATTTTTGTACCCATTCATCAAAAGGTTCTTTGTGCTCAAGTGAACACACCTGCTCAATAATTTCTTGGCCTGACTCAGAAGAGGAGGACGATGATGAACAAAAATGATAAAGAAGATCGCTAAGACAAAGATGAAAATGACAATGAAGAAGATGATAAACATACAGCGGAGAAGGAGAAACCCAGACACTGCAGGCAAGTATTGTACTAGAAATAGCACAGCAACAGCTTTTCTATTATTTACTTACATTTAATTTATTTTTAAAGGTGTAGCATGGATGCTCATTACTCCCATGCTGCTCATCTTTCTTTTTGCACAGCAAAAGTGCCCTCTGGTACAGAAATAGATGGCGCTGCATCGGCCGTAGCCTCAAGTCTCGTATCCTTTCATGTTTATGCTCTGTCCACACCCGGAAGGAGCCATGCATGAGAAGCAAGCCCAAGTTGGACAAATTTTCCTATAATAAATGGAACCAAAATGCATGTAGCAGATGATGAAAACCAAGTCCATTTTGTTTATGCATGAGAAGGGAAGGGGGTGGGGGTGTAATTCACAATACACTTCACTTTAAATTTAAAAAAGCAAGCTTTTTGGTATTTGCAAACTTTTTAATTCATGAGGAGGAGGAGATGAAGAAGAGGAAGAGGAGAAGAAGAAGATGAAGAGGGGGAGGAGGAGCAGACAAAAGAAAAATAAGAAGAAAGAAAAGAAGAAGAAAGAAAAGAAGAAGAAAGAAAAGAAGAAGAAAGAAAAGAAGAAGAAAATGAAAATGAGAAGTCCCAGCAATAATAAATAAATGATGGATTGACAATTTCCTTTGCTGATTTAATTATGACTGAGCTAACATAATAAAACAATTGTCAGATAGTTCGACAGTTGGGTAGACCACTAACTAGAGTTTTACTCATTTGAGACCAAACTAACAGATGGTGCCCCAAATGGCATGCTTAAGTCGTGATTACCTGGACACATTTCCAACAGTTGTAGAAGTTAGCTAAGGTACAGATGAACTTGCTTAGGGGATGGTTCCAGGCAAAGAGGGAATTCCTACAGAGGTCATTAGAAGTTGACAAGATATACTCATCAAACAAATTCATCACTGAATAACACTAGCATGAAGGACAGGTCCATTGTGACGTTACAGATTCAAGCATCATAACTATGTACAAGAACAATGGTGATCAGAGTGACTGTAACAATTAAAAGGAGATATAACTTTTGTCAGAATTGTTCTGTGGAGACTCCAGATCCTATGAAACCAGATTTGTACAGGTCACAGTGTGGTTTTTGTGATAATTACATAACGATAATTGCAATAAAAATGCATAAAAAAATTAACCACTGTATACTGCTTTTATCAATCTTACCAAGGCATATGATATGGCATCAATGAGTTGTTTCACACAGAAATGAGAGGAAAACATTTTTGAAAAAGTTAAAATTAAGAAATTTACAGGGGGAAAAACCTTAGCTGAAAATGAAATGCTGGTAAGATAAACTCATATACAGATCATACAGAGGCCACCTAAGAATGGTTGCCCAAAAGTTTCCAAGATAAGGGTTCTCTTAAACAATTACCACTCCCTTAACATTACCTGTGTACAGTTCTCATGTATTTGTACTCACAGTGTATCCTGTAATGGAGACCTGGTGCATGCTGTCGTTCAGGAAAGTTAGAACTGACAACATTGTGTCCAGTGCTTCTTGCAAGGCAACAGTCATTTCAGGGTTATCACTTGTGAACTTTAGCATTTCCTGTGAAAATAAAAGCATTAATCTTCTTATCTCAAAACATAATAGTGGAACAAATATATTTATTCTGTACAAATATGGCATCAAAATACAGGATTAGAACAAACATATTTATTTAAAAAGATTTACAGCATCTAGGTGTAAACATTTTAACAACAAACATACCTACAACAACTATTAGACATTGTGGTACTAGAGAGTGCAAAAAAGTGACTTTCCTTGAATTTCAAGAAAACAGAAATAATGGTTATGTCAAAGAAGAAGATAACTCCAAAATGTGACATAGCAATAGAAGAGAAAGTGCTTAACCAAGTCAACAGATTCAAGTATATGAGGACGTTCATAACATCAGATGGATGATGTGTGACAGAAATTAAGGCCAGAACTGGCCAGGCAAAGGCAGCATTTCATCAGATGAAAAGTATTTTTTGTAATAAAGCACTCTCATTAAACATCAGAAAATGAGTACTGAAATTTTTTAATCGAGCCTGTTCTGTTGTATGGCAGTGAATCTTGGAATGTATGCAGGAAAATTATGGAGAGTTTTGAGGCAACTGAGACGTGGTTCTTCAGAAGAATGTTCCAAATACCTTGAACTGCCAGAATAACTAACAATGATTGCCTGGAAATGGCTAATGAAAGTAGAACATTACATACAATGAGAAGGAGACAAAGTTCTTTAGTCATGTGATATGAGACAAGGAGCACTGGAAAATATTGTGATGACTAGAAAGATCACTGGAAGAAGAGGCAGAGGCAGGCCAAGAGAAATGATGGTGGATGACTTAAGACAGTGGCATGGAGGAAAATCATCAGTGGAACTGATCCAGAACACCAAAGACCGAGACCTGTGCAGATACATGAACGCCGACGCCAGCTGGCAAGGCACTTGATGATAATGATGAACATACCTTAAGCAACAACTGGTACTTAGTGATTCTCTGTATGGGCTTCAGAAGATAGGCTCCCAGTGGAAGTTTATGACCCAGACTTTTCTGGCACTCCTGCAAAACAAACAGCAGTTTCAGTCCTGCCAGATTCAACTTCACTGGTTATTAATTAAATATAGATTAAAACTCAGAGCACTGATGGGATTTTCTGTGATGGATATAGCTGTGACAGCAATGTTCAATATTTATAATGACAAATTTATACTTCCTCTCTCTCGCGTGCGCATGTGCGTGTGCACACACACGCACACATGCAATACACACACGCACGCATGCAATACACACACACACACACACACACACACACACACACACACATGTGCACGCACTCTCACACACACACACACACACACACACATCCTCTGAAAAGTCTGAGATAAAGCAGTTCTGACTGAAAATCATGGCTGTAAATTTTATACAATTAGTAAGCAAGCAAATAAAACATTTGAGGTCTGAGATGTGATTCTATAGAAAATTGCTGAAATTTTTTTTGGATAGCCAAAATAAATAATATTACTGTTATCTAAGCCATGAAAATTTTTATCGGTGTGAAATTGGTGTAGAGACATTTATATCAGCGCTACAGAGCTCTCCTCCCCATAAGTTCAGAAACTAGTAGGTTAAGAAAAACTAGTACTGAAATTTGAAAAAAGGAATATCCTGCATGAGAAGGAAGGTTTCTAGTCAAGTACCTACAGTGCTTGGCTCCTACACAGGAAAACTTGGGTTCAATTTTCAGTGAGAAATTAAGATCTTTAGTTTTCAAAATGTTCACACACACACACACAGACACAAAACTGTACCAGACAAACCAACCAACAAACAAACCAAACTCACCTTAATAAATGTTTATAAAAATAGCCTTTAATCTTTAGGCACACAAGCAGATACCTCGGAGTACTAAAGTGAATCTTATCAGAACTATTTTTTGGCCAACACTATGCTATCAATGCCAAACGTGGTCACTTAAATCCTCCAATGAACGAAAAATTGTGACAACAGAGATGAAATGCCTTAGAAGAGATGTACGAGTTTCAAGGAAAAACAGAATACGAAATCATGAAATCAGAGGAATGCTAGGAATAAAGCCTGTCTTACAGGTCATCAAAGAACAACAAATGAAGTGGTTTGGACACCTAACAAGAATTGCCCTGGTACTTTCCGCCACAGCGAGCCACACTAAAACGTTACAACGGTATAGAGCGAGTGGAAGACCTCGGAAAAGATTGAGTGATGGCATTAAGAACAGCCTTAGAGAAATGAACATGTCTTAATAGTGCTCTTGACAGAGCTCATCTACGAACATTACATCTCCCGACGACACTTTGATGAGGTAAAAGGTGGAAGAAGAAGAAGAAGAATCTTTAGGCTCATGAATCCCGTTTCCTATGCCACCATAAAAGTGGCAAAAACAGGTAGTAAATACCTTTTTTTTTTTTTTTTTTTTTTTTAAGGAGAAGACAATGAAATTAAGGGCTTGGATGTACCTGTATATATACAGTAGGTGATATGCTAACAATATAGTTTTGATTGCTACAAATGAAACACAACTGCAAAAAACTGACCGACATAACTGAACAGAAAACTAAAGCAAAGGTCTTAGTTTAAACAGCAGAAAAACTGAAGTAATGGAGAAAATACCCTCCCCCCCCCCCCCCCCCCCCCCCCAAGTCAACACAAAAGTAAATGGGCCAAGTCTGAGGCAAGTTCATACAATTAAGTACTTGGGTACCATGATAATAGCAATGGAAAATGTTACTGAAAAAGTTAAATGTAGAATAGCTCAAGCGAAGACAGCATTTCAAAACATTATGACTATTCTATGCAATCTTTCTTTGTTAATCAGGGAGAGGAAGAGAGTTCTTAAGAGATATACAATTCCAATCCTGATGAATTATGGACATTTAGTTCATTAGTGACAAATTATGTGAAAGCGGCGGAGATGCCATGCTTCAGATGACTGATAAGAACACCATCGACAGATTAAAAAGAGTAATGAAGACGTAGTAGAAGTAGTAATTTCTCAAAAATATCCTGTTTAAGTTACCTAAGGGTTATAATTGGGATATATAGTATTAACTGATTTCTCAGAGCATATATTTGTTATTTTATATTTATATATCGCGTAATTATTTAAATGAACGATATGTAATTTGTATTGTTTCTCATATTGCTTTGATTTATGATTATAATAGAAACTGTGCTATGAATAATTAGACAGTCTTAGTAACATTGTGTCATACAATGTTAAGATAACAATAGAAATTCACATACAAAGAGAACTGACTACCCACATCCAAGGGAAAAAGCATGGACAGAGCAGATATCGTTAACGCTGTGCGTACTGGGCTAGTGGATAATGTCGAATCCCTGACACTAACACGATTGCGTGACATGGGAGTTAAGCATGGTGAAGCACGTCTTTGCCGTCTGCGAGGCCGAGAAAGGAGACAATATAACCAGCTTCACATGGGGACAATTAGTAGAAGTACTTTGGAGTGGCTGCTGCTTCGGAGGACTGCGCACGCCTGGGTATGCCCAGTGTGCAGTGACGTCGATTGTGATAACAAAACACAAAATAACATTTTGTGGGAAGTCGGCATTCCGAAACCCAAGTTCAAGGTGTCTCCTTCGTGCCAAAGAACTGCATGGCTGTTGGGTGAACAGTCGTTAACGAAGGCAGTCAGGTCGTTGTAGGGGCGAAGCCTGCTGATGGATGTAATGTCCTAAGTCCCTTTCCCAGCTAATAGTGAGGGTACTGCTGGGGTGACCATTTGTTAATCCCTCACATAATGCTTCAGGTCACAGTGGACGCTAGGCACGGCCACTTTTTCAAGCCGTAGCAGTTCTGCCAGGCGGTGGCCGTTGCATTTTTGCTCCATTTGTAGACTGGAAGGATATAGTTTCGTCGCCCAGCTTCTGAGTTGAGTGCATGGTGTGACACTGTGAGCTACGAGTGTTTTTCGTTGGCACAGGAGCGTAGCAACAATGGGGTGACCCGTTTGCTATGATGCTGAAACTAGAATTACCAGATTACCAGATTACCAAGGGAGACAATCTACTTTTTGTGGTCATGTCATGAGGGGGAGACAACTGTATGATGAGGGGGAAATTACAGGGGAAAAGAGGCAGAGAGAGAATGAAGGAGAAAATGCTCAACAGTGTAACATCATGGCATGGATGACCGCCTGTGTCAATAATGAAGGAATGTGCATGAGAAAGAAGGTTGTGAATACACATGACTACCAATGCCTCATGGACTGGACAATAAGAAAGTTTGAAGTTTGAACAACGAATCAACATCATGGCACATGGATAGTGAAACCCATCAGTGCTCCATTCTTTCTTCTAACTCAAGTCTAAGTCCGAAGAAGCTCAGCACAGTGCACAGGCTCTGTAGCACCAGCGAGGATCCTGAAATACTTTGGGAAGATTTTTAACTCAAAATTTTTCCTGGGCAGCACCGTTAGGCTACTCTTTTAAATTTCCAACTGCCAAGGGATTTTTCACATGCACAACAATGCATACAGGTGTCCAATCTCACTACCCAGAGACCAGGGGGTATTACTAGAAGTCCAAGTCCACGTGAAAAAATCTCAGCCCTCACCGGGGATTGAACTCGGAACATCTACAGTTGAGGGGGACACCATGTCTTGAGACCACGTAGCCCCTAGACAGTAAGAAGAAGAACAAACTTCAGTATGATACCAGAACAAGATACCTTGAAAAAAGCATTATTGTCATCCACAGTCATTCTCAATGCTTCAGACTTTGGCTTGTTTTGACAGTAAATGCTGTACATCTGGAACTCTTCTTTCTGAAATGCACAATAATTACAGAATGTTTTGGGTAATCTTCAGGCTAAACTGTCGGTGCTTGTTAATTTTTGTTAGTCTTCTTTTGTGTTCACAGTCAAAGAGCAGCTGGCACTTTGTGTTGTGGTTTAAAGGCAGGCTGTGATATCTGCACCCTTCAACTCAACACATCCGATTTCAGCAGACCCCTAATTAGTCACTTTTATGACATGTTTGTTTGAGGGGGGGGGGGGGGGGGGGGGGGGGGGGAACAGTGGGTGAACATCTTCCCACATCATGGGGGGATCAAATTCATGGGGTCAGGAAATTTTGTGTACCCAACTTGAAGACTTGTTTTTTACCGTACTTATGTCCAACATGTAGAATTTAAACATAGACTAAACGTTTCTTTAATATCCCATGCAGAACTAGACTAAGATAGACTATTATTATAGTTTCACACTGCATTCTAAACCACACATTTATATTATTCTAATGAGTTTCTGACTAGCCAAATCTCATGACTAGTCTAATCTTTTATACTATTTACTATACTATACTGTATTATAATATACTACAATAGCATAATCGTAATTGTTTTAGTTGTTCTCCACATTTTACCTCATTATACCACTACACAGATTTGAAATTAGAGCTGAATAGTATAAATCTGGTATGAATTTTAATTTCTTTTAACTGCCCCAGATTAACTTGTGTTATGAAACCCATCTTGCCTACTGTATTAAAATCTTTTTCATATCTCTGTAAGTGCCCTCATCTGTATCTACACACTGCTACCTAAACAGATGTATCACTCTATAAGTAATTTTCTCCTTGTTAATTAATGTTTACGTTTGAAAATGAGGTTAGATACTAAACATAAATTATGCGCTTGAGGTCGGGTGAATGGAATCGAGTACGAAGTACGAAGCATGCGAATTTGCTGAAAGTGTGATAGTTAGAGAAAAACACGAACCACACAGAGAATGTTCAAGAACTTGAGAGAGACGATTATTTAAACTCAGAATGATCGAGAAAGATCAGTTTTGTTTTTGATCCGGTAACAGTGTGTTTGACAGTGAAGAGTGAGAGCTGAATGAATCTAACTGCAAGAGAGTGCCTGCACAAGATTTTACTGCGAGTCCCATGGAAACCAGGCCATCCTATTTAGCCTGGCATCTTGTCAAGGCTGACATTGTTTTGCTATCGATGTGAGCAGGTGTAAACCTGAAGTGCTTACATTTTGGAGGTGTTGTGGTTCATCATCTTGTATAAGGTGTGGCTGCATTCATTCGTACTGTTACAATTGGGCAATTTTGGTCACCCTAGGAAGTTCTACCTATAAATACAATGGCCGAGAAACAGTTGTTGGAACCAATAAACATTTTATAAGGATCAGCTGTGTGGCATTTCCAATGTTCATTACTTCATGCTGAAAATGTTGAATTGTCTGTCTGTGTGCGTCAGAAGGCTGCAAGTTATGAGAGCCTAAAAGAGTCATCGCACACTCTGCACATCTGAGTGGGTTTTCCCCCAAGATAGACTGGAATATTGTTTGCCTGGTACATTCTCATTATCTGTGTTTTTCCCCTATGGATTTTTTAGACCTAATTGTTGTGATGTCTCATCTGTTCTTGCTCTCAAACTATTTGTTAGTTTATCCACGTAAAGAATTCGACAGTTCAAGTCTTTATTTGTTGCCTCCATTAGCTTAATAATTTTCTGTGGGATTCCATACTGCTTTTTAATTGCATAGAGCTCCCTATAAATGCTGTTTAAAGCTTATTTTTTGGTTTTGTTTTAAGTCCATAAATTTAATATAAAAAAGTGACATCATTTCAATACATTTTTCTTTTATTACAGGTTGTGTGGGCATCTGGTCAGTTCAGAATCTGTTCAGACAAAAACTTTCTTGTTCATCCTTTAGTTGTTTATCAGTGGTATCTCTTTTAATCTTTCCAAAATGTAATTTTTTGCAAGGAGCTGAAAGTAACATTGTTCCCCTATAATTTACACACTTCTGCCGGTCACATCTTTTGGGTATTTAACAGATATCCTTCTCCCCAATCTGCTGGTATTTCTTAAATCTCCAAAACTTTCAATCTCCAAAACTTTCCAGAATAATCTGTGTGGCACTTCATAGAAGCATTTATACTGGTCGTAATTTCTGCTAGGATACCATCTTTACCAGCAGTGTTCCTTTCCTTCGGGAGGCTGAAAGCTTTCTTAATTTTCTTTTTAGATGATATCTCATAGTGAATATCCAGCTCCAGTTTCAAAGGCTGGATACCTGGAGGGACCTTTAGGGCTGGTCTATGCAAAGGTTTGGTTAGTTCTACGAAAGTCCCCTTAGAGACCGCCCATATGCACACTAGCTCACTTTTGATTGGTTAACCTTAAGTTACCCTACCTTCGCACACTGCTACGGGGGTGTTCAGCAATGCCATTGATATCACGTATTGTATATTTAAGCATGCCAGCGCTTTTAACACTACAAATACATTTAGAAACCGGGTCTAACACACAAGACCCCCACCCCCCTCCTTCCCCCCAGAGAGTGCTGCAACATATGTCACAGGCATTCTCTTTCTCCCCAAAAAAAAATGTAAATGCAAGAAATCCGGTCCAAAAAAGTTATAAATGGAACGTGACCTAGTTTGTTTGGGGAGTCGAAAGTGGAACTCAATCAAAGGTTCTTAAAAGTATTCAGCACATCTTTCTATTTGATTTTTAGAGCTGGTGAGAACTTTCCCATAATTATTAGTCATTGATCAACTTGGTTCATTATATTTCACCACTAGCGTCCATGTGGTACTGAAGGTCTCTTGAAACTTTGTTTCCTTGTTTTATAACTGCTGTTTCTGCTTCTTGTGCTCATTATCATCATCATCATGTGCCCTGCCGAATAGTGTAGGCGTTCAGGCATCTCTACAGATCTCAGTCCCTTGTCATTTCGTGCTAGGTCACCTAAATATGTCCTTTGCTTTATGAGCTCTAGCATTAGCAGCTCTAGTTTTGCTATTGTTCGGGAATGCCCTTTTGCTCTTCCTTTGATTATTTTTTGTTAAAGGTTTATCTGTATATTACGCTTTCATTCCCTTTTTACAAAGGACTATAAAAAAACATTTATCTAAATTGTTGCCAGAGCATTTCTACTACACATAAAGTAATGTTTAAATGTAATACTCACCCTGTTCACAAAGCATTTGCCCACTCTTGAAGGACAGTCCCTGCAGTCTTTCAGTTCTTGCAAAAATACACTGGGAAAGCAAATCAAATTATGTAATACATTACATTACACTACTGTTTGTAAAATAAAATAAAAATAGTAATCAGTAATCATCACAGGTATATTTCTGTTTCTCACAGATTTAAAAACTAGAGCCGCCATGTTCTAGCAGCATGACACTCACCTGCGGATCGGAAGGTTCAGTTCCTGAAGAGGGCCAGATTTTTTTCAAAAATGACCTTGATTCCCAGCTCGACCCAGCCTTGTGTGGGTACCAGGTAAGTCCTGGGAAGCATAGGTGGCTGGCGTGATGCTGACCACATCACCCACCAAGTGCCGCTAGGTCTATAAAATATAGGTCTAGCCCCATACACCCAATATGCACAAAAGGCGTGGAAAACGGTCCTTTACCTTTACTATAGATAAACTACAGGAGTGATTCTATCTACATATTTTTTTTTTACTGGTTTGAGACCAAGCAGTGCAAATACTTCCATGCAAAACCAATGCATGTAAAGTTTCCTTGTATATTTATAGCATGCATGATTATTCATGTACAGGCACTGGGGTTCTCGCCGTTCTAAGGAGTTCATGCACTGGGCTGGAATTCTCCTTGTGTCATCAATGGTAGGAAACTGGAGCAGACATAAAGTTATCTGTGTGCAATGAAGCTCTTCTTCTTCTTGCAAAAATAAGACGTATGCAAGAACCAAATGATGACTGTTAATCTGCGACCATGACCAGACTGCATATTAAAAGTGGTGTGACCAGACAAGAACCCTATTCTGGTGTCGCCACCCTCTATACGCCGTTGGATTTACTAAGAAGGGGATCCAAGTATCTATGGACTGAATGATTCAATGCACAATGGGGAAAATCTGTTGACTAACTAACAAACTATATTCTCAAGCTATAAATTGCTTATTTCAGTGCAAATTTTGTGATTCCTTGTCCACAACATCTCAGAATTTTTCAAATATATAAACTAAACTAACATTTCTATGCTCCTGAACCAAAACTAATCTTCAATATCAAGTGTTGTACAATGAAACCCGAATGTAACCCGAATAATTATAGGTTTTAAAATGAAACTGACATTTTTGTATGTACAAAACCCTAAGATATATTCTGCATGTAAAAAAAAAAAAGTTGCTGTGTATCCTTTACAGGATGTTACAGAATCAACCCCCTGCATTTTTTGGCTGTTGTGGTTTTTCTAAACAAATTTTATATTCAGTAGTTTGCCATTGCTTCTGAATGGTCAGCTCTCAGTACCACTGTCTAAACCAATGCAAGACAAACCCTCCACAGCTGGGATCCAACTGGCACTCCAGCATTACAAAGCTCATTCACAATGCCTAAACCTGCATGTTCCACATACAAGATCAGATCTTCAAGTGACTTACTCTTTATGAAAATGATAAATGTCCTCCAAGTTTCCAAACAAAACGTGTTTCTTGCCTAAAAGAGCAGGCGGAATCATCATCTGCATAGATCTGTCATCCATCTTTTTATAGTACTCCTGTAACCAAGATAACAACTGTATATATGAATGTAAATGATTAAGTAAAGGCAATTGTATTATAATCTGCATGGGACAGAAATGCAGATCAATCAAACAAAGAATTCATCCTTTGCAATACCTAAAGTATGTGTTGTAGCAATTTAGCAGTATGCACAAAAACTCATTTAAGGGGGCTGCAGTATTGTTAACATACCCCAAGGAAGAGCAAGGAGTTGTTATACGTTTTTGTGGACAGAGGGTGTTAAATCATCTAAAATCTATAGAAGAATGAAGGTTCAATATGGAGACAGTTGTCTGTGTCAAAGGAAGCTGTGGGCACAGGTGGAAAGAGTTAAAAACTGAAGGGATAGCGTCAGTGATGAAAAGCAGAGTTGAAGATCTGTTAGCGCGGCAACTAAAACGCTGAAACAATAGAGTAGCAAATCTGCGACAACAGATGAGTCACTATTGATGAAATTGCTGTAGAATTCCACATGAGCCATGGCGCTGCATACAAAATTGTTCATGATGACTGGGGGGGCATAGAGGTGTGTAGAAGATTAGTTCCATGGCCGCTGTCCGATCAACAGAAGCATGACAATGCCAGCCCCTGCGCATACAGTGGATACACTACAAAACTCTCTGCTGTTTGAAGTATTGAAACATCCAGCACACAGCCCTGACATCGGCACCATCAGACTTTCATTAGTTTGGCTCACTGAAAGAACATTTGTTGGGTCATCACAGATTTGCAGATGCCAATGAGGCAATGTCGGTGGTGCAAACTTGGTTACTGGTCACACCCAATAGCTTCTACCTGCCTTGCGTCCATAGTCTTTTGGATCGATGAACTACAATTATTGCAAGGCAGGGAGACTATCTGGAGAAATAGGACACATAATAGGACACACACAAATTTTGTTCTGGCCGCTTGTAAAAAAAACTTATAAATGCAACTGTCTTTACTTAATAACTTCCCCTCTTTGTAACTGATTCACAATGTATAACAATGAATGTGTTTGTTGGAAGAATTATGTAGGGTATGAAGCATGTCAAGATTTTGTTTTATTCAAATATTTTCTCCTAGTTCATCTGGGTAGACATTCAACACCATTTTCCTCCTCAACAGCCAGCGAAGAGTCTTTGTACTGAAGGTCCCCATTATCATCTGATTAACTACTTATCCTGCTTTTACCCCAAGTCTCAAGTGAGGTCTAGGCCCATAGATACTCGCCGCTGCCTCATTCTTTCCAGGTATGGATCCTGTCTTCAGGCGTGGAGGGTAATGAACAGACAGACAGATTGGCTGGATCTGCACCACTGGGTGGTGAATTGATACACGACAAGGCAGATGTGGTCAAGGGCCTTTGGGAACAAGCAATGGAATCGGCCAAGATAGAACATTATTATGGCCTGGAGAGAATGAGGCACCTGGTTGTAACCAGAGGGTCTGGCTGGCTCATTACACTCAGATGAAAGGCAAGACGGACATATAACTAGATTGTGACCAATAGCATCAGTACTGGAACTCTGCACTGGCTGCTGAAGATGAGGACAGAGCATTCATGTGAATGTCCCATGTGCTGTGATGTCAATTTTTGACTCAACTCAACTCAACTCAAGGTCAGGTTTCAGAATAATCCATTTTATTTGTTACCACGTCCCACAGGCAAGAGATCATCTGTGCCTTGTGAGCTGCAGTAAACCCCCAAAGAGGCAGTCCAGCCAACCTCTCTGCCTGTCTTTGCTACCCATTTTTTCAGGCTGGGTCTGCTAAAGAACTATAGGAAAAACATTAAATCTGGTTACTAGTTGGAATCAAATCCAGGGCCACTGTATTTCCCCAATCCTATGTACCACCAAAGATCCTAAAAACCACTGTGTTAGCTCTACTGCTTCATAGTGTCCACCGGCTGTAAACTCTGGTGGAAAGTTCTGGCTGTCAATCCACTTCTGGACTTTTGCTTTGTTCCAAGACTTGAGTGCTGCATGTACATCTGTTTTACAGATCTGGCTTATTTATCTGCAGACTACTGGTTCTTTGCTTCTCTGGTACTCCAACTTCAAAGAAACTGTGCTGGCAATTCTGCCAATAACCGAGACAGAGACGATCAGGAAGAAGCAACTGACCTCAATAATCTGTTGTAGTTCATTGACATAGGCAATCTCTGTCTCTGTTAGCTCATTCATGACACGCCTGGGTATGGAGTAAAACAAATAAAATAGCAGCTTAATATTAGCACAAATCAGAAATGCTTACAGATATTGGAGATGTGGATAATATAACAGCTGTATTTAGACTAATACACATCTGGGATGTTTCAGTTTTCACCTTCTCATGACATGGCCAAAGAATGTAGATTGTCTCTATCTAATATGAGCAATCAGTTCTTTTCATGAGTTAGTTTCTTTCAACACATCCTTTTCAAGACTCTTTTTATTTTGTCCAGCGTATTCTGACCATTCGTCTATAAAACCACTTCTATGCCACTTCCAAATAATATTTCCCTGGTTATTACACTTGCATAAATCACAGATGCTTAGATATTGGAGACGAAATTAAAATAAAAGCTCATTATTATTCTGGTGAAAATCTGTGATGCTCACAGAAGATGTTTTTAAAAATTACACATATTACTACATTCATACAAATGAAGGATGATCACAGGTACTGGAACAGTCGTGAAAACAAAAATGACTTATTACGACTCAAGCATAAATAAAGAGTGTTCACAGATACTGCAGATCCAGCTTTATAAAAAGGTAAAAGTAACTCATTCAACAGAACATTAAGTTAGTTCAGGACTAGATGCTATGATGAAGAGCTGCTATTTCCAGGTGTTCATTTGAACTAATTTAAAAAAAAAAACAATCAATGCTGCATTTGTTTCTTCTTCTAGTGCTGATTGGCCTCCAAAACATTTGGCTATTACTCACTGGTGTAAAGAAACAAATGAAGGCTTTAAAAAACAAAAAAACAAAAAACAGAAGAATCAGAGGCATGGCTTTGCCATAGGTGCAGATCGCAAGTCTATGGATTATGCCAACATTGTTAATGTTCTTAGTGAGAAAGAAGACAATCAAGCATTTCTGGGGGGAGAAGTGGGGGGGGGGGGGCAGTATGTCCATATTGCTGCTAAAGATGCATGAATTGTGAGTAAAGTTCAGCACAGCCAGGCACAAGAGGCATACTAGACAAATGAGAAGTCTTGTCAACCAGCTTTATTAGCTGTTGAACGATGATGTCTATTCTGAAAGGGGTGGGGGGGGGGGGGGGAGGTTTGAGCACCAATAGATGTATTCTGAGTAATGTGAAGATAACCCAGCTTGTAACTTATAACTCAGAAATTAGAGACATACAGATGAATAAGATAGTGAGGACATAGAGTGAACCACACAAAATAGCAAAGGAAAGGATGGCTTGACATGAGTTAACTGACAGTCAATGTTCAATCAATTGAAAAAGGACAGAAGGGAGAAAAAAAAGCCACATACTCTATTTTTCAGTGTATAGCCTGAGGAGATTTTTTTTTTTTTTAAATTTTGGTTACGTTTAAAATATGCGAGTTGTCTTATAAATGGAATGTGTTTAAAATATTTATTTCTTAATTTTAAGCTTTAAAATAAAAAGGAAAACCCAAAAAAGGGCCCTTCACTTTATTTTATTGCACCACTGCTAGTAAAAGTAAGTAAAGGACCCTTTTCCAAGCTTTTAGGCGTATGAGGCTACACGGCTAGACCTATATTTTTATAGACCAATCAGCTCAAGATGGTTTATGTGGTCAGCATCACGCTGGCCGCCTTTACTTCCTGGGACTGCACCTGGTACCCACTCAAGGCTGGGTCGACCTGGGAGCCAATGTCATTTTTTTAAAAGTCCAGCTTCGCCAGGAAGCGAACCCACGACCTTCATATCCGCAGGCGTGCGTCTAGCCGCTCTGCCACAGTAACTCCCACCACTGTTGTTGTGCAAGGTAAATGTTTTCTGGACAGACAGGCACAAAAGCTACCCCTTTCAAGCAGTTGCCAGGCTGTATACAGCTGGGAATTTCATTTTGCCGTTGTTATAAAAAAGTGTGGGTAACTGTGGCTTACATGTTGCAAAAGCACTTCATAATTCCAAAATATCTGGTTTCATTCAATAGCAGGCAACTCTGTGTTTAACAATGGTATGGAGCACCAACTGTTTACAGGCAATGGCGAACTACTGAATGTAAATTTCTGGTAAAACCACAAAAAGCCAACTGGAATTGGTTTGCAACATTTTGTAAAAGATAAGAAACTATTTTTTTTTTTTTTTTTTTCAAAATACAAAATATATGAGGCACATATTTTAAATCCTTTACCCTGGGAACACTAAACAAATGGTTATGACCCTACTGAATTTCCATATAATAATCCATTACCATTTTTTTTAAACGCAGGTCACTAATAAATTCAGCAGCCACCATGGTCTAGCAGCTAGATGTCTGCCTGCGGATCGGAAGGTCCTGACTGGGGCCGGAATTTTTTCAAAAAATGACCTTGGCTCCCAGGTCGATCGAGCCTTAAGTAGCTACCAGGTACAGCCATGGGAAGTAAAGGCAGTGGCCTGATGCTGACCACATCATCCCCCAAGTGCTGTTTGGTCTGTAAAATATAGGTCTAACCCTATATACCCAATAAGCCTGAAGGCGTGAAAAAGTTTTTACTTACCAATAAATTTGTTAATCATTTATTTATCTACATTTTTGTTTTGTTTTTTATTCTTGAAATATACAAAGATATATGAATGAAATATTAAATAAACATGAAAAAGATGAATCATTAAATCTAATACATTCCCTGGATCCCAAAAATTAATGTATGTATCAGGTGACCCTATGACCTCTATCAGTGAGGCTTACTGGAAAATTTGAAATCTGACAACAATGTAGTTTTAAAAAAAAGGTACTTGGCTCAAAGGAAAGCCTTCCCTAATTAGTAAATGCCTTCACATCCTGATCTAAATGTTTGCACAAGCACAAACACAGCCAACAGCATTAATTATGCATCCCTTAAACAAGTCACTGAAAACAGGCTAGAAAAGTGACATTAAACAGGAACGACCTAACTGGCAGCTTTTTGGAGTGAAAGGATAACCTCTCGATGATGTGCTCATTGTGTTTATCGTTTGAGAAAAAGTGTGATGGTCAATAAAGCTGCAGAATCTGTGTTTTTTTTTTTTTTAGTCATGGTTACTTGTTAAAAGAAGAACCCTGAACAAAGAAGACACAAACAATAGATGGCAAATTTCACTGTATTACATCAGGTGCATACTCCGGTAAAACTGAAGACAATGAAGCAAATCACTTTTACTGAAATACAAAATGCACTTGATGAGATACAGCAACATATGCCAGGCAATAAACTGTGTAATCTATTGTATGTGTCTTATATATTCAAATTTACTATGGGGAAACACTGTTTTTAATAGAAGAAACATCAGAGCACTCAGGACTTGTCCCAAGTTTCCCTCAACAGATATTGATGTGCAGGGATACTAATGACTCTCACTATTCACTGACAGTTCATCCATCTAACACTTTCATGTAATCATGTTATAGCTCTAGTTCTGACTGGTACTTTATGTTTCTTTAGTTTTGACTATGGTTTGGAGTGCCAACTGGTTTTTTTTTTCTTCTTCTTCATGTTCACTGGCTGTAAACTCTGCAAAAGTGCTGGCTGTTCATTCACTTCTACTGTTTAGTCTTGTTCTGGAACTTGAGTTTTGCAAGCACATCCATTTCACAGATCTGGCTTATTTATTTGCAGACTGTTCCTTGCCTCTCAGGCAGATGCATTCTGACTTTGAAGAAAGTACCTCTTAGTTGACATCCACAACATGCTTGTTGGGGGAGGGGTCGGGGGCCGTGGGTCTCTTAGAGGGCAATGGGTCTATTGGGGAACATTTTCTCCAAAACGGGGCTTTAGAATCCACACAGGGATACCATTGTTCAGCATAGTTTGTGCTGTATTTAGTACTCCGTTGATAAAGACTTTGGTCAAAACGTTCGGTTGTGTTTGTGTGTGTTTTTTCCATTCCCTCGGTTGAACTTTCTAGTTACATTCTGTATTATATTTAGCATTTCTTGAGAAAAAAAATCTGATAAAGCATAATTCAGATAACATAATTTACAAAGTATAAATTAGAAAATATAATTGAGGCATTATATCAAAGAAAGTATAACTGAGAAAGTAAAACTAAAAAAGTATAAATGAAAAAATATAACTAGAAGGTATAACTAAGAAAGTATAAGTGAAATGTGTAGGAACATTACAGAAACAAATACAATTGGTTATGACGTAGATGGAACATTTCAGTCTACTCATTCCACTTTGTTTATAATTCACACTTCTTCTTTGTCTTCTTTCTCCTCCTCCTTTCTTCCTCTTTTTTTCTATTCTTTTTTCTTCTTTTCCTCATTTTGCAAGAATACATATTACAGTACTTTTCTTCTTCTTCTTCTTCTTTTCATTGTTCCTGCCAGTTGTAATCAGATAAGAAAGCCACAGGCCTCTATGAAGTCTGTGTGGCAATGCATGTCTTGCACTGTTCCACTGGAATGCCAGTTGGCCAAACCTAGGACCTCTCTGCTGCATGTAGAGAGAGAGAGCATGTCTGCTGCATGTAGAGAGCATCTCTTCCACACATGTTCAGTATTCTGTGGTGCCTGTCCTCATGGGCAGAGTTCTGAATCCCTAATCTTGAACTTCTTGTATACATGGCTGCAGAGTCTGTTGTGTCTGCTAAACAATCTAAATATAATCATGTTTCTTTTCTGTGAAGAGGCTGACTGAGTCTTCAAGACCATATCCTGGATGGGAAATGACCAAATGAGTTCTAATGGCTGCCTTGATCTCAGTTTTATTTTTCTTATAAGTGTATCCTTTATCTGGCTGTTCTGTATGACTTCCAATTGTTGCTAAGTAGTCTGTTCTTTCATCTTCCTTAATGCACAGTGACCTAGGATCCACTGCAGTGTTGTCTGTTTGGTTAACTGAACCATCTAATTTAGAACAGATCCAAGCTTGTTGAACTGTAGTTGCTTATCATTTTCTACTACTTGCAATACTGAGCTAGCATCTGTCAGTATAACCACTTTTGACTCTCAACTGCATTCACTGAGTAATATGGATATCCCGACACCACTGCCTGCACTTTGTAATTGGTGGACA